AAGTATTCAAACAATCATGAATCTCCATGATGGTCTCCTCCTGCAGACTGGGCTACACAAACTGGTTCAAGACTGGAAGTAAGCGGGTGAGCGAGCATGTTAACTCAGCTTCAGCAAAGAAGACGCTTCTATTCAAGAACCCCATCAAGAAGACTCTACAGGAAGTAGAGAAATACACAGCAGGACGCTGGTCAAAAGTTATTTTATCTTCCTTAATGCACTCGACATCTGAATTAGAAAAGATGAGAGCCACCGTGAGCCAAGTGGTCTCAAGACTGAAGAACTGAGATCCAATGTGAGGCTTTACTTCCCATCCAAAGGATGGGCTTCCTTCCAACTTTTCCAAGAAACACTTTCACATAATTAAAACTCTGTTCTTCTTCAAGTAGTCCATGAAAAGATGTGATGGTCACGATGGAGCCTCATGTCACGAGGTTAAAATGGATCAAAAATCAGATCTGAAAACAAAGGTGAAACCAAAGACGTGACGTTATCTAATGTTGAACTACAGAACGATCAACATGTGTTATCCATGTCGTCCTACTGATTTTTAAAGACTTTCTCTCAGCCGTACAAGCAATGCTTCATCTAATGACCATAGAACCCACCAAATGCCAGGCAACATAATTAAAATGTTTTTAATCTAATTATTTAATTAGCTGTGGAAAGTTGTTTAAAAGATGTGGGAATGTTGAGGCCATAAAACAAGTTTGTGTCGCTGCTGTGACTGTATGTTACCGTAAAGCTGCTTCCTTCCACTGCCTGTTTACAGCAGCTGCGTTTCGGCCGGTGAAGCTTCAGTGAGTCTGCGGCTCCATTTCCATCAAATTGTCAAGAGAATTTTTCAACAAACCTTTTGCATGTTAAATAGAAAACAGACCTCTGGCTCGTTTCCAGGATCTGGTTTGGAACAGATGTGCTGTCAGAAGGTTGGAGTATAGACTGTGACATGTATGGTTCCAATGAACGCAATGCTGTTTGCTAATAGGAAACAACATTGTTGAACCAAAAAAAGCAAAAACCAGCCTCCTCTTGACTTTATGTTTATTCTTTAATGGCAGCCTGTTCTGGTAATGCTTTGCTGCAACATATATCAGATCACTTATGTGATCTGTGAGGCTCTGGAACCATTTCTAACGTCAAAACGTATTTTCAAATTATGCCGTTAGTTGCTGTGATTAGTAAACAAAAAAAAAAAAAAAGTTTTCTAATGTCCTACCATGTTCAGCTTAACTTTTTATACTAATAGTAACATAAAGCCTGTATGCTGCGTGCCTTCACCAAATCCAGTTAATTGTTTCTGAACAATTAGTCTTGAATCACTGAATTTGCGCTGAGCGTAGCCATGATGATAAAACTTTAGATTGACTGTCAAGATTATTTGCCTTGAAGAATTATGCTGATTTGAAATCGCAGCTAACCCATATAACATTTTATATAAGATGTAGTTTTATGCTGTAGTTGATTTGAACTTGAAACTCAGAATTTCTGGGTGCAAAAAGTGGAAAAAGCCGTTTAGCATGTCCAATAGAGTTTCACTGTTTAAGAGAAGTTCTCTAGAAAAGTTTTCCTGCATTAGCATCAACACAAGGAATAAAACGGCAATTCTGACTGCATCCTTTTAAATCTGTTTATACTGAAAGTTAATCTTGAATACTGGATCAGTTAACACTGAAAGTGAATGAAAAGGGACCATCATGCAGCAAAGGAGCAAATCCAGCACGACACACAATTTTACTTTATTGTTTAAAAGTCAAAAAGTTAAACTTGAACCTAAATGTCACCATATTTTCCCTGTTGTTGATTCTGCTCCCCGTTTACAGACTCCTTTTGTTTGTTTTTCCCCTGCTTCATCATTCATGGACATAAAGCCAACCAACCACCATGCAAAAACACAGTGTGTGTCAATCTTCCCAGAGCATAAAATCATTGGTTCTGCTTTGATATGGTTGAGTTGCTTTGAAAAGATAATCCATGAACAGCTCAGCTCAAACACTGCAGTGATTGAAAGTGTTTTATGGCTCTCTGTTGATGTCATTTGAAACTGTTTGTCACCAATGAGATTTTCATGCTTCAGAGTGAATAGAGGAAACATTACATGCCGTCATGAGGAACCGATGTGAAAAGGCCAGCTCTCGCTCGCCGTTTGACATGGAGAATTTTCAACACGACTGATCCTGATGTAGTTTATCTGCACAACTTTTCTCTCAGCTGTCAAACGTCTGCAGTGAAACTGCTGGAAAATGCTCCAAATACAGATCGAGGTTGAGCTCAATTTATATTGTAAAACCTGTAAATTAGGTTGAGTTTCTCGATGCTCATCTGCTACAAAACTGAACTGGTGCAACCTGGACCCAGTCGATCTGTTAGCAATGAACCCAAAACCCTAAAATGTTCCCAAGGAAAACACAGAATCAAATACTGCAGGTTGTTTCTGATCCACACAGATCATGTTCCAGATTGGGATTATAATCCAGGCAGCACTTTAATGCCCTCCTTCATGAACTGGTGTCACACACAGTTCAAAGAAAACCATTATTTTCCTGTGATCAATTCATTTTTTTCTAATTCAGAAAGTGACATTAGTTTAGTTATATTTTTAAACCTGGGGTTCGTCCAGATGTCGTAATTTTGGGGAATACTATTTGAAAGGATGAGCGTCGGACCGACACGAACATGAAGAAGTCTTTATGAATGTCATCATGAAGTGTCATTCAGTAAATTCACTTTTAGAGAACTTGTAACTGTTCATCTGGGTCAGAAACTCAAAATCAGTCTGGAACAAACATTTAAATTTGTAGCAGGTGCAAACCAGAAGTGGGATTCTTCCTGTGTTGAATGGCTGCTCTGTAACTTCTATGGATTTAATACTGAACTCCAAATGGGGCCTAAGCTGTAAAGATAAACAAACCCAGCCATTTCCACATGGGGACCAAATATGGGCCCTAAAAGGGATTTTCCATTAAAGTTCCATGTTGTTCACATGTAAAGGTCTGGCGCAGCACGACTCTGGATTAGCAGGGTAAAAACAAACATCTGGAACGAGCATCTGAGCTCTGAATGGGTTGTTTATGGGCCCTAATGGGACAGTATGAGGCGTTGTGAAGCCTGAAGGTCCAGGATTTAGAAAGTGACTCAAGTTTCAGGTAAAACGGTGCAGACATGCTGCCATTTAACAGTTTCTAGCTACACCATTAACTTCTTGTAAAGTCATCCTAAAGAGAAAAAAATGCATTTCAATCCCTTAACATTACATTCCAATTATGTTACACATTTTAAAGAAATTCCATTTAATTTTAAAAAATATAAACCCCCAGACTCTGGTGGAGTCATAACCAATATCTGCCAATGAGGTCGATGGATATTGGGGATTTTCTACAAATCCATTTGAGAACAGACAGTTGGGGCAAACCCAGAAACAAATGTGGGGATTAAATATCCAAGCTGGGAAAGTTTTGGGAACATTTACAGAATGATGTCTTGGATCGAGTTAAACAGGATTCTGACAAGCAGAGTTTCTGCCTCATCCAGTCCAACTATTCTGGATGAGGGAGAAAATGCATTATAATGCATTTTCAGATAAATTTGGGATTTAAAGGTTTCACCAGCACTTTTGAAATAATTTTAACTTTCCATAAATATTGTGTAAAATGAAACCACTGGACTCTTGAATACTAGGCACAAACTACTCACACCCTGTTAGTGCCGTCCCTCATTCTGCCCAATATATTAAGTTTGTCAGGTTTTCTGGTGCTTTCCTGGAATGTACCAGAAATTATTCAGAAATGTTTCAGACAGGTAACCTGTATGTTCAGTAAAGTGTCTAATGTCTGAAAAGTATTCAGTAATTTCAGGAAAGTTGCTTTATCTTCCATTAAGAATTTTGAGAAACTACTAGAAAATTTAGGGGAAATGTTGAGGAAAAAAATCAAAGTCACAGGCTGGACACAGTGACCTGCCAGTGTGTGTCATTTATGACAAAAAAACAAAAAACAAACAAACATTAAGCTGAATCAGAAAAGCATGAGCTAAATATTTGTCATCTGAGGCCACCAAAAAGTTACTCTCCTCTCTCACCACCAGATTGAATGAACAACCTCATCTAAAAATGAATATTCAGAATATGGATCATCTTTGCAGAGATTCAGACAGGCTAATCAAAACTGGACAAAGCAGACCAGAAAAACATTACTCAGTTTAATGAGTCAATTAAACCAGAAACGTCCAGATGACAGAATCTACAGCAAACCAAATGAAGATCAATCATCAAGTGTTTCAGTGGCCGTCAGGTTTCCACACTTCGGTTTTATTTGGCCTGTTAGAACAGGTGGAAAACCTTCAAACAAAAACACAGGCAGGTTCATTTAAGTTCATCGTCACAAAAAGTATTTCAGAAAGTTAATGTTAGTACATCTAGGTAGAAGGTGAGGATTTTTAAGAGAACATTAAGTAAAAGTGTGATTTTGAGGAATATTCTGTACATTTTTAGCCAAATTATATTTTACTGAATTTCAACCAAGGTTTAAAAAGGAAATACAAATTAGTAGAAAACCTAAACAGTTAACGTAGTATGTGTAACTGGGTTAAATGCTCGTTTTACACACCAAAAGAAATGACAATGTATTATTTAAACTTCATCCAGAACACAACACACATTACATGGTTACCTAATTGAATATATTAAACTTTCAAAAATAAAATATCCAGAGAGTCATTTTCAGAGTTCAAGAAGTGAGCTTACTGCTTCTCCGTCACAGTTTCAGCGCCATCATTGCACAAACCGAAATGCTGTTTTGTCTCCTGACTGTCCTAATTCAGCTCACCTGTGGAGAGATGAAGGGCGCGCTGCCGTTAGCCCCGCCCACAACCTGAACGCTGTCGTTCAGGTTGTGGGCGGGGCTATCACTGGTCACGTGGCATGCAGAACCGGAAGAGATGGGTAGACAATGCATTTACCTTGCACTTTGAACTGCCTTGTTGCTGAAAATGTGCTAAATAAATACAGTCACCTTACCTAATAGTTACCAGTCAGGATGGTTTTTGGTTCTGTAATGGTGGGAGAAACTTTGGACTCAAGTAAACACCTTAGCTGTCTTCAATCTACAAGATGATTTGGTGAGCATAGCTTCATATTTGCGCAGTTTGATTGTATCCATGCACTTTATGTTTGAAAAATGTTCTGTTTATCAGAGAAATCCTTTGGCTCAGTGGATTGTTTTCATAATAGGCAAGTAAAACCAAGAGAACAGAATAAATCACATTGATTCCTCACTGTAGTGATGACAGTGGGGCTGTAATCCACAGAGATAATAGGAATCGCTCTCCTCATACATACATAATGTCTTTAGAGGGTAGAGGGTCTGCTGTGGTAATACTGTTTTACCTCTAAATTGACTGAGGAGAAGGTACGCTTTTTCAGAACCAATTCCTTGTCATTGTTAGTGCTGCAGTACAAGAGAAGAGAAGAAAACGGTTGTTACTCATAGAGCTATTAGCAGATTTTCATCTGAACTTCAGTCAATTCAATTAGAAGAGAAGAATTACTGTCTTATGGATCAGGCCTCCTATCACTGCAGCCCTGCTAAGCTGGCTCAGTTTGGAGTCTGGTTCCCAGTTGGCAGATTACCGAGATTTCCGAAGCTCTTAAACTAATAAATCTCATACGGAACCTTCTTTTTCCCCTCACTCTGCTTACTATCAAAGAGCAATGTTGAAAACATCCAGAGAGCTGCTCCTCTTCTAATTTCTTAATGGCTGCAGTCTGGTTGATGTGCTGTCTTAAAGCCTGGTCTGTATTCAGATGCAGAAAAATCACCCAAGACTCAACTGGAAAGGAAAGTTGTGCTGTGTTTGATAACAGATTTCTCATATATTTTGGTCTGATTCATTTTAATTCATTGAGAGCATAAAATTACAGAAATTGCTAAGTCACTGGTTGGTTCAGGTAAGTTGCTGATTTGACATAAAGGTAAAGGTTCATTTGACGCCCTTTGGTTCAGATAACCAGTAAGACGCCTGCAGTCGCTGATCTGGGGAAAGTTTGCCCCAAATCCTTCTGATGTTAAAAATTAGATTTTTTTTTTTTTTTTTGCATATGCAGCCTGTTTGAAGTCACCCATATACAAAATTGATCTTTCTATTAATTATTGTACAAATATTTAAATGTACAAAAATCATTTTTAAGAATTGTGTAAATTATGATGCCTTTTTAAAAACACCTCTATAAAGTGTCTGAGAATATTTTAAAAAGAATAGGTTATGAACAAAAATAATTAAAACAGTAAATAAACATCATTGTGCAGGAAACTGAGCACTTTGTATTGACTTCTATTGTGACTTTTTTACACTTATATGTTATTAACCATAACTTACATAATTATTATTATTATTCACTGAAGTTAACATTGTTCATAATTACAAAAAGGTGAAGTGAAACATATTTAAGTCCAAAGGATGATTTACTTTGGAAAGAGGAAGTCTTTTATTTTGAAGAGCTCAACAGGATGTGGTTCTGTCTCTATCTTGCCTTCTGTTGATTTTGGTTGCTAGGATACGGACCGCTGTGATTGCTGTTATCCACTGTCGCTGTTTGTTCAATAAAAACTGAAAATGTTCAGCAGAGACGTCTGAGCAGAAGTGAAAGGATGTTTATTTACTCTTCTAATTTTTTCAGGACTTTGTATTGACTTCCACTCATTTTTATGCCAAACCCAAACATTTTCTCTCACTTTAAACTAAATTTAATTCGCACCATACCTCAAAATCTAACTAGCAGAGCACAGAAAACGGACTAAAAAGTGAGGAGCAGAAAATGTCCTCAATTTCCACACAATGACCTCCATTTGTAGGGAAATGTTGAGAAAGGGGTCCTCTTTATGTAGCATATATAACAGATGAATCTCCTCTGAGTGAAGCAAGAAAACCAGGCAACTACAGGAAAATAACTGAGGCATGAAAAGCTTTAAAATAAACATCAATGCAAGGAAGCTGAGCAAAAGTCCAGACAACACAAAACTAAATCATTTCATACCATGCCAGTAGTTCAGCATGACGTTAATAGAAGCATATTTGTGATTGTACAGGATAATCTCTAAAGGGAGATTGTGGTTTCATGTTTACAGTGAATGATGAAGGGGATCTAATGCCAGAAAGAAATGAGGCCTTTCTGAGGGTTCAGCTGAGCTGCAGCTTATAAAGCGGTTACTGAATGAAGATATATGAACCGCAACAAGGTTAGTGTGGACTGTTTACATTTCACTGTCTATGTGTGACAGGAAGCCAGCAAAGAAATTACAAGAAACCCGAAAGGAAAGTAGCCTCAGACAGAAACCTCCTTTCATTTTCCTGTTTACAATTCATTCCGCTCAGCCTATGAAATTTTATATGTGTCGTAATCAAGCTACAGTTTAGGCAGATGGTGCTTTTACAATTGCCAAGCCACGGACGCTTGTGTACATCTGTGATTTTCCCCCAAAATTAAATTGACCTACTGCACCTAAGAGCTTAAAATCAAACTGCAGCTTACAGATTTAACTGGATGATAAATTGCACTTTACAGTCACCTCCTAAACTCTTTCTGTTCACATTATCGTACCCTGAGCCTAATAGTCCCTCTGCACTTTCTCTCCTTCACTTTATGATGCTTCATATTCAGCCATCTGCCAGACACACTCTGACCGAACATTCGCCATGTGTCCATAACAGCGACAGAGTTCCTCACGCTCACGACTTTCAGTGAAAGTTTGAACAGAAACTGAACCCTAACAGACCAAAGAGTTAATGCCCCCGTGTCGTACCCACCGGAGGAGACGGGACGATGGATTAACCCTCCAGAGGAGAGAGAGCGGAGGGATGGGAAAGCCATGTGTGGACACCCCTCTGCTTATGAAACACAAAACCTTTTACTGCGAGGTTTTGCATGTGTGAATGTGTGTCATCATATTACACTCGCTCATTTTGCGAGCCATTTGAGGTGCAACTCCGGCCACAAATCTCCAGGTGTTTGTTATAGTCCAGAAGTGAAATTCAGAATGCACATAAAGCTAGCCGTTAGCCTCCATTACAGCAGGAAATTAATTGGGTAGGAGTGAATAATTGATAGTAGAAACATCAGTTTAAGTCATGGGTTCCTTAACAGAAGCCGACCAAGATGACCTGCAGTCACATTGACCACAAAGTATTTTACAGCATCTTTATCCTCCTTTCAACGCAGTGGCAGCTCAAGCTGCTCATATTTATTGGAGACTATTTAACTTTACTTCAGGCCCATTGACATTTTACCAAAAGCTATATTTAAAGTACTCTTGAGCCCACTGGGCCTGGCTTGTTCTCCGTTATTAAAAGCAATCTGCACTCCAGTTCTGTTCCAATGTGATTAAAGAAAAGCTCTTCAGACCTTCTGAGGGCCTCATTAACTTTAATTAGTAAAAAATAGCCCAATAAAAGCTTTTATGATTTTTCTGAAAATGTCAGTCAGTTTTTGACACGTTGCAATTTGGGTAAACCTAAAAGGCACAATTATGGTTCATCAGACGGATTCTAAGTTTGGCACCTGCAGGAATACAATGGATGGACGGTCCAAATCCATAATGAGCCGCTGTTACAGCCACCGACCTGCAGGGGCGCTGCTCCTCCTGCTGCAGCTGGAGCTCCGTCTCAAAGTGTCTCTTTTCCCTCAGCCTTGATCTGCAGTGATCTTGTCTGTTTGCTGTCTGCTCCTGCAGCCTGATGTGAATATTTCTGTGTGAGTAACTGTGAACATCTAAAAAGGAAAGCTTCCTGTTCTTTGGACAAACAGGAAGCTCAGCCATTGTACATTTCTGTTTACTTATAGTTGTTTTATTTTATATTACACAGCAGGGTGTGTTTTGTTTGTTATTTTAGCTTTGTGGACTCTGAAGAATAATGCTGTGTCGGCTCTGTTTTCTTGGTTTGTTTTTTCCTAAATTGTCAAATAAAATCTTGTTTCTATTCAGACCAACCATAAGAGTTTTTATGCTAAAACGCCTTTACTGCTTCATGAGGCTAACTGTGGTAAAATAACTATGGCATTTTTTCACCATTGTGAAAAGGTGTTGAGGATGAAAACATTTTAATGAAACCACCAAAAGTCAAAGAAATCATAAGAAGAGAATGTAAGAAGTGAAAGTAGAATAATGATAACCCAAAGTTGGTGGAGTGGCATCAGTTCAGTAAAGCCCATAAATGATGTCTGCCTGGTTTTAAACAAGCTGTCACCTTCTAATGCAGATTGTCTTTTATTTTCTTATTTCTTTAACTGGACAAGTCCAATTTTTTTTATTTTATTTTTTTTATGCTGAGATCAGCCAAGATAAAAAGATTCACAGAGAACAACAAAAGAGAGAGCCAGTTGATAAAAAGATACAAAAAAAATAATAAAAAATTAAAGATGATTGAACTTAAAGTCATGTACTGAATACCTCATTGTCGTCTCTTAAGTGTTTTTATTCAAGACGGATCCTAAGTTTTGAATAAAAGAGTCTTAAAGACTCTTGAATTCATCTATTGACAACAACCACTGAGCTTTGGGATACACTTCTTTTAAAAATGTGCCAGTTTAATTTTTAGAGGTACAAATAGCAAAAGAGGGCAGAATGATCCTCCTGCTGAATTTCCTTTGGAAAATGATGATCTCCATCCTCCAGGAGGCGATCGGACTGTAACTGCTGCTCCTTCACATCAGACGGAGTCAGGTGGGCATGCTGGGAAATGGTAAATTATTCATTTTGATTGTTTCCTTCAGGAGGTTATTTGGGAGTTTCCCTCTGGTAGGAAACCAAATTGAGGAAAACTTGCGGTTCCTTGGAATGCCTGGAAATCCTGCAAGAGTCTGGAGACACAGCACAGGTCAGTGCAGTTTGGTTGTTAAAAGGACAATGGTATGCTATTATTACCATTAGCATGAGACATACTAGTGTGTCTCATGCTGGTATGGTGCAACATTAGACGTTTGGGTTTAATCCCACCGACCCAATGAGAGTCCATGTCGCTCAGTGGAAACCAGGCGACCTGCTGGCTCTGATTCCTGAACTCGGAGAAGAGAAAGAGAGGTTTGGTGGTGTTGGTAGTTTAAAAGAATGTTGCTGCTGCCGTATCGCCGTTTCCTTCAGTATTTCTCTGCTTTTACTTTCATTTCATTACTTTCATTTCGCTGTCACTCAGTCATTAACGCGAAAAGGTTTAAAACCCACATGAGGTCAGAAGGTGTTTCCATAATGAGGTGCATCAGTCGCTGTTCGGTTATGTATGAGCATGTTATAGCTATGGATGAAACATGCTGCCCTTAGCTTTGATACCTTCCACTGTTTTAGTTGCTCATTAAAATGACAAATGTCCACACAAACAATTGATTATCACAGCTTTGTTTTCTTTGTGTGTGTGTAATGTCCTCATTGGTGGAGAGATTCAACTTGGGTATCAACACCAGAGCAGAAATAACATCAGAGAAACAAAACCTGTCAAACTATGGAAAGAGAACAAGGAATTAATGCATTCTTATTTCCAGAACTTCAAATGATCAGGGACCTTTTTTTATCTCCTGACACATAAAACAATCGAAGAAAGCAGGGTATGTTTCCTTTTTACTACGGATGTACCTTCACAAAACAGTAATTTGTCGTCTTCACTGAATTTCAGCCTGAAATACGCTGAACACTGAGCTGTCGAAACTTTTGGAATCCATTTGTTGTATTGTTATCAAAGTATGTCAGAAAACTTTTACAAGTTAAAGAACTGCGTACAACTAAAATAAGCAAAAATATCCAGGTGGAGATTTGAAACTTAGGCCTAAAAGGGTGGAAGAACCTAGAAATTGTCTTTGGTGGATGATGTGTTCAAACAACAGCTGACGCCTGGTCAAAGGTTTGGCTCTGAAAGTCTTCCGCTCCTGCTTCATTTCTCTCTCGCTCTCATCACTTCAAAGCAAGGCTGGAATTACAAGCTGCAACAGACGGCCTTGCTGCTCATTCATTATGAATGAAGGTGCAGTTTCATGACTCAGTCCATGCTAAGACCCCCAACCGTAGAGCCTCAGAGTCGAGCTAATTGTGTCACCTTTGACTCCCAGAGGGCTACAGATAAGTCGTAAAGCTCTGTTCGGTTTTATCACGCGCATGACAAACATCTTCATCCTGCTGATGTGTAGCTGCAGGATGTCTGTCAGCCCTGCTCAGGGAAAAGAAAAGGAAAATGCTTCATTTGGCTGCTTGCGGCAGACCAACGGGTTAAAATGAATAGAAACTAATGAAAATTTTAGCAACAGCAACAGAATGACATTTTAAAGCAGAGGTAGAGACAGAAAATCTGACTTTAATGACCAAATGGAGCCTCCTCTGTTCTTGAGGATGATCGCCTTGGTGACCTGCCTGTTGTTAGCGTTAGCTTCAAGTCACAGATGAGCTGTAGGAATGAACAGCGCTGACAGGAGGCTGCGCACTAATTTTGCCCCAGGAGACGGCAGTGCAGCCTGGTGCTGACTGTGGCAGCCAAACTGCAGCGTTTTTATGACTCTTGAAAAAGCCTTTGTGTTCACTTCACATGACAAATGAAAAATTCAGGAGGCGACCCATCGCTCTGCTGGTTTCCTTCATGTAGCACGGCTTTGAACTGTGTTTATGAATTTATTCACTGGGATGTTTTTGCTCATTTCGAGACAAAATTAGGAATAATTTTGGAATAAATACAAACTGAAAGAGCTGAATCAGAAACAAAGGTTTACAGAGGGGACGCGTTTAAACGTTTTAAATAAAAGTCCAGATTGTAAATAACGACATATTGAATTTCCCTTCAAATGTTTTAGGATGACCTTGTCCAGATTTAATTCTGATTAGGATCTTTTCTCATGATATTAAACAGGTTGTTTGTGAAAAATCCTCCAGTGTCACTGAATCGATCATTTTCTGCAAGAAAGAGTAAGAAAAAGTCATTAAAAATGACATAAAAACTTATTACAGGTTATCGTTAATGTTTGGAAGTAGTTCCCACTGAAACAATTGATTATGTTTTAGTGGTTCCACAGCTTTTTGCCTGAATGAACAAAACTTTGATTTTAAAAATGCTCTTCATATTTAATTAAGTTATGTTTATTCAAATCTACAGATCAACATCTCTTCACAAGACGTGTGTATTAACAGGTTTCCATTTCTATTGCTGGAATCATCATGAATACTTTATACAACTAGTGGGATGAAAGACACAAACAGGTGAAAATGTTACAGTTTACATGGCCAGCAGTGACAGAATACAGCTCTACACAAATATTACAAAAGTGAGATTTACAGGCTTGAAAGCAAGTGAACAAGTTCAGCTTGTGTCCCCAAAATTAGAAAATACGAGGGAAGTTTTTCCACAGATTTCAGGCTCATCCTGCTTTTGACACGTAAAATAACACATGAAGTGACGGATGCTGGAGAACAGAGATATTTAGGTTTAATTTTATCCTTTAATCTGATAGTTATTAACATCAGCCTGCAGTGGCCCAGTCCTGATCTGAATCTGTTTAATACTCAGTGGAGGAAGCTGGACATGATGGGAAGCAGGATTCATAACATCTGACAAATATTCAGAACACCAGTGGAAATATTCAGACTGTTGTAAGAAAGGTTTTATTGAAGAAGGGGTTTTGCTTCATTTAATGAAATGTGAATGAAAAAAGGTTTTCTTGTTAAAGCTGCTGAGTCCTTGGCATTGAGTTCCAGTTATGAAATGTAATCTTCTTGGCTGAATGAAAATAATTTAAAGAAATTTGGGGTATGAATACTTTTGATCTCATGAATTTCTTCCAGAAAGTCAAATCTAAACATTTTCATTTAAACATAATTTCTTTGAAAACTGAATCTGCCCAAAGTCACAGAAACTGAACAGTTTTCAGTTTTGTTGCTGAGTTTGACCTGAAAGCTGAGCATCAAACAGTGATTGATTATAGATTTATGTTTTAATCAATTGCCTGCTCTGATGCTAAATTTTGAAAATCAATACAGTTATTGAGATATGATGCTTATGAACATGGAAGGCTGATGCATTTCTCTCCAGAACTGATCGACTCTCTGATCATTAATAAAATATATTATTCTGCAGCAACAATTATTGACCCAATCAAGACATTTAGGAAACTTTTCTTATATGTCAAACACAAGTAAAGTGTTTTTGACTTAAATAATCTGTAATGAAATGCCTGATTTGTCTAAAGAAAATGAAATATTAGTCTTTGAGTTTTGAGTTGTGGCTGTAAAAAGATTCAGTTTATGTGTTTTATCAACTGAGTGGAATAACAGGGAGTTTTTCCTGAACTCATTAGTGATTCTCCTTTCATGTCTTAACTGTAAAATGAGTTGTTTTTAGCCAACTCATTAAATCAGTATTTGATATTTTGTTCATGGATGATCTGAGGATGTGCGGTTTGGAGAAAATCAGCGCTGACCTACTTTAGATATTACTAAAATAACTCTGGACTTTTACCACCAGGACTTTTTTTTTCTTAATACATACCATGAGTTTTAAAGGCTTATTAACTTGATGAAGCTTTGAACTTGAAATGCAAAACTTTGAACCAGATAGCATTTCCCGCTGCACAGCCACAAAAGTGCTTTCAGATATCAATCTCCTGGCAAAACAAATCAGCAGCCATACAAGCAATGGCACACAGCTGCAGAGAAAAGCCAAACAATCAGTCTCTATGTTGCTCTGTGGGTGAAGCAGAGTAGCAGATTGATTTTGAACAACATCTGAGATGCTCAAATACAACCTTTCCTCTCCAGTTCCCGGCTGATGATAAATGTGGCCGTCAGGTAGCCCTCCCCCCCCACCTGACCCTCTGGGAGCCTCCATCTTTTTGAACACAGAGCCTGATTACCTTTGAGAACACACACTTCAATTTATACACACACACATGCACTCA